TCTCATCCAATCTATCTAATCTAATCTAATCTAGGCTAAGCTAATCTAATCTAATCCTATCTATCTATCTAATATAATCTAATCTAATCTAATCCTATCTATCTAATCTTATCTAGCTAATCTAATCTAATCTAATCTAAGCTAATCTAATCTAATCTTATCTATCTATCTATCCATCTATCATCTATCTATCTATCAATCTATCAATCTAATCTACAGTAATCTAATCTAATCTAATCCTACCAATCTAATCTAATCTAATCTAATCCTATCTATCGAATCTATTCTATTCTAATCTAATCTAATCCTATCTATCTAATCTCATCTAATCCTATCTATCTAATCTAATCTAATCTAATCTAATCTAATCCATCCTATCTAATCTAATCTCATCCTATCTATCTAATCTAATCTAATCTCATCTAATCCTATCTATCTAATCTCATCTAATCCTATCTATCTAATCTAATCTAATCTAATCTCATCCTATCTATCTAATCTAATCTATTCGAATCTAATCTAATCTAATCCTATCTATCTAATCCTATCTATCTAATCTAATCTAATCCAATCTATCTAATCTAATCTAATCTCATCCTATCTATCTAATCTAATCTAACCTAATCTAATCTAATCTAATACTATCTATCTATAATACTAATCTAATCTACCTGTCATGCAATGTGCTGTCATGCAATGAGCTATCATGCAATGAACTGTCATGCAATGCGCTGTCATGCAATGAGCTGTCATGCAATGCGCTGTCATGCAATGAGCTGTCATGCAATGAGCTGTCATGCAATGCGCTGTCATGCAATGAGCTGTCATGCAATGCGCTGTCATGAAATCAGCTGCCATGCAATGCGCTGTCATGCAATGAGCTGTCAGGCAATGAGCTGTCATGCAATCAGCTGTCATGCAATGCGCTGTCATGCAATGCGCTGTCATGCAATGAGCTGTCATGCAATGAGCTGTCATGCAATGCGCTGTCATGCAATGAGCTGTCATGCGATGAGCTGTCATGCAACGCGCTGTCATGCAATGCGCTGTCATGCAATGAGCTGTCATGCAATGCGCTGTTATGCAATGCGCTGTTATGCAATGCGCTGTCATGCAATGAGCTGTCATGCAATGAGCTGTCATGCAATGCGCTGTCATGCAATGTGCTGTCATGCAATAAGCTGTCATGCGATGAGCTGTCATGCAATGCGCTGTCATGCAATGCGCTGTCATGCAATGAGCTGTCATGCAACGCGCTGTTATGCAATGCGCTGTCATGCAATGCGCTGTCATGCAATGAGCTGTCATGCAATGCGCTGTCATGCAATGCGCTGTCATGCAATGAGCTGTCATGCGATGAGCTGTCATGCAATGCGCTGTTATGCAATGCGCTGTCATGCAATTCGCTGTTGCAATGCACTTTTGTCGTGCAATGAATCGTAGCTTGATGAAATGCACGCAAACTGATGCAACACGTCCAACGGTCACAAAAACAGAAAGTGTGCAATGCTGTACCATTACAGTATGTGACGAAACGTGGATCTACCTTGGCACGAGGCAATTCCAAGTGATGCCAAACTGCAACTCATCTGAGGCTCTGTTGCGAAGTACTGCAATACTATACCATGGTGAAAAAACTTAGCAGCGCACGTCACAAAAAAAACATGGAGAGCTGCCGTGACATGAATATTCAATATCAGACAATATCAGTTGTTGCACAATGGTGCATGTTGCAAGGGCATGCAAAAACAGCAAAGCATGCTTATGCCTGAAGAAAACGCTATGAAGAGACAGTGGGACAAGCAATGCGAGGCCACATAAAGTATGTGGTGCTGCAATGCAAGCTACTTCAACAGAGAGGAATAAGCTTCTGCAGCCGAGAGGAAAAACAATTTCCACTGCCATACATGTAATATATACATATATATATATACATATAAAACTATGTATATATACATGTATATATGATATGTATATGTAATCATATGTATATATAATTATATACTAGTATAAGTTACATCCGTATTTCTACATAGAAAATGCCAGCAGAAAATGTGATGTGGGGCCACGCGCTGCACTAGCCGAAAGGAAACGTACGGTGATGTCAAGATGAGTCCTGCCGTTTTGCACTGCAACCTTTGGTGAGGTCACAATCCACATCTGCAAACATGGCCGGGTACAAAAATCTATGGCATGCAACGTCATGCAATGCAACATCATGCAGTGCACTGTCACACAATGCGCTGTCATACAATGCGCTGTCATGCAATGTGCTGTTATGCAATGCGCAGTACTGTCATGCAGTGTAATGTCATGGCATGTGACATCATGCAAAGCACTGTCATGCCGTGCAACGTCATGCAATACACTGTCATGCAGCGCAACATCAGGCAATGCACTGTCATACAGTGGGCTGTCATGCAATGAGCTGTCATGCAATGAGCTGTCATGAAATCAGCTGTCATGCAATGCGCTGTCATGCAATGCGCTGTCGTACAATGCGCTGTCAAACAATGCGCTGTCATGCAATGAGCTGTCATGCAATGAGCTGTCATGCAATGCGCTGTCATGCAATGAGCTGTCATGCAATGTGCTGTCATGAAATGAGCTGTATGCAATGCGCTGTCATGCAATGAGCTGTCAGGCAATGAGCTGTCATGCAACGCGCTGTCATGCAATGCGCTGTCATGCAATGAGCTGTCATGCAATGAGCTGTCATGCAATGCGCTGTTATGCAATGAGCTGTCATGCGATGAGCTGTCATGCAATGCGCTGTCATGCAATGCGCTGTCATGCAATGAGCTGTCATGCAATGCGCTGTTATGCAATGCGCTGTCATGCAATGTAACGTCATGCAGTGCAACATCATTCAATCAATGCACTGTCATGCAATGTGCTGTCATGCAATTCAACGTCGTGCAGTGCAACATGATTCAATGCAGTATCATGCAATGCTACCTCATGCAATGTGCTGTCATCATGCAATGCACGTCCGTCGTGCGATGTATTTTAGGTTGAGTGCCAACGGTGATAAAATATGGAAAGTGTGCACTGCCCTAAAAAACATGAGATGAAAAGTGGAATACCGGAGGGAAGGCAGCTTTCTCGTGCCACAAACAATGATAAAGAAAGAGGTGTGTGTGGCCCCTCGTCAAGTGCTAGCATCATGCAGCTAGAGGCAGGTGAACTGACGGAAAAGAAAGAGCGCGCAGCGGACAACACAAAAAAACAACCCCCCCGTCCAAAACATTGAGATTCCTCTTCCTCCAATGCCGCTGCCCGCTTTTGCCCGTGCCCCACCGGTCGCTCAAGCTGGGTTTGCTTGCCTAGCACCAACCGCAACACGAGAGAAGGCTTAGGCTAAGCTCACTCGCTGTGAGTCTCACCCGTCCTCGCCAGGTCTTGCAAGTGTGCCCGGCCCAGCCAAGAAAAATAGGCTCAGCACTCAACATCTTGAGGCCACGGAAGCAAAGCTTCCTCAAAGGGTTCACCAGAGGTTCCCCCCACGGGCGCTGCCAAGATGAGGTTCACACGAGCCGTCCCCAGGTCTTTAGACGGGCCCTCCTACACAGCCAACCGCGAAGCCCCATCCCCACAATCCCAAAGCATGCAGTGGAGAGAGGAATAAACCTCCACACAGGGCCAGCAGAGCTGCCTTTCGTGCTGCATGCTCAGAGACCGCAGGCTAACTCAAGTATTGTTGAAGGGCCAAGCAAGCAAACCCAACCATTGCTTCCGCCAAGAAGCGAACAAAAACGGGCTACAGCATCTTCAGCTTTGGAATCTCAAGGGTTTGGTTTCCCTTTTATAACCGCAGTATTTCGCAGGCAGTCTCACACCAAGGAGACAGTGACACTGGGAGACAGGAGCTGAGGCCCACGATGACAAATCAACTGAACTGATTTGTCGCCCAATCAAAATTAACACAACAAAATGTATCAATTCTCTTGTGCTGCCATGGCATCGGTTTAAGAAAATATCGTTTGATGAGGTACTGGCAAGGGAAAAACAAATGCCAATTGAATTGAGGCGGTGGTTCAAAATAGTGATGCCAGCCTAAGGTAATAACTATTGGCCACTAACTGACTATGGCACCGGAACTCCACCAAATAAAAAATCACATGATTCAAGATTCTTTCATCATCCTCACCCACACATTGAATACAAAACTTGATTGGTGGGTGAATAATTGATCATGAATAGGGTTGCCCTGGACTCCTAAACTCTTCCATCCTTGCCATGGATGGCTCCTTTTCTGTATTGATGTTGCGGGCATGTATTCTTCACCATCAACTCCCGCCTGCAAGCAGCAATCCTTCAGCAGCAAAAGTGCTGCATCCTCCATGGAACTGGCATCGTATTGCATCGTATTGCGTCATATCAGTACAACATTGGCTGTAAGAACCAACAAGCACAGCAAACTGCATCAGAATGGGGATACAATGGGTCCGAGAAACCAAAGAAGATGCGCATCTTATCCCAAGCCAACTAGCTGGGACCCGTCTTACGAGTTTTTCATATACTGCTCATCTCCGATCTTGCACTGCGCTTTCCACTACACATCCATTTGATGGAAGCGAGTCTCAGGGATACATGGCGGCACTATCTACAGAATTGAGTGCCAAGTGACACAAGCAAAAGGAGAAGAGAGGACTGAATCTGGAACGGTGACATTGAAAACAAATGGAAAGATTTGAGACCGTGCCAACTCCATCCCAGGGTTGACGAAGTGTAAGCATCACTTGCAACTAGCTTGGCAGTTCATGATGCCGATTTGCCGTGGCGATGCCATATGTTTCCCTTCTACATCCTTGTACTACGTATTTGGGTGAATAGATATGTTCAATGCTTTTTTCAAGCCAAGGACAGCACTAGTGGCTAAAGTAATAATATCTGAGACAGACTTCTCTTAAACTCAGCTGCTTTTATCTGAAACTTCCACATTGAAACCAAATAGCCCGATATCTGCTTGGATGCAGCATCAGTCGGGACAGAATGATCTTTTGATTTTCATCTAGCTTATGGGTCCTTCTGACAAGATTCAAATGGATCCACTGTTCCAGGACGTTTTCCGGTGTCTCGCCCATCAGAACAAGCCGCAATTCGCAGCCTGGTGAAAGCCTTGGACATCCGACTGGACTGTCGCGGTGTGTTTCAACATGTTTCAACATGTTTCATGATTTCAAAGCTTTCTTGTGCCGCAGCGTCGTGCCCTGAGGTGAACGACTTGATTCTTTTGGTGCTTTATAGTAAACAGCGGCTTAAATAGATCCGTTTATTCGGTGATGGCTCGTCAATTCTATTCTCATGTAAAAAATATAATGCAAAGCAGGTGGCACGAGAAATTATGATAATATAGCGTTCTCGTCTCATACCATGTCTCATTCTATAATATCATGTGTTACTTTGTGTGATGTCGTCATGTCTGCCAAGAGATGAAGATTGCAAAGCGTGGCACACCCGGGATGCTGTCAGAGCTGCGCGTTGATGTGGTGTCGGTGTTGTTGCTGGTGCTGTTGTCCGTACCTTACACCTCATGTTTTCACGGTTTAGCACATTTTACTTGTCGGAACAAGGGAGAGCACAGGAGTTTTTTTCTCAAATGTGAAATTACGTTGATACACACAGATACCATGCCAGCTCAACCCAAACCAGACCATGCAGAAGATTACATTCCGCGATATGGCAGCACATTGGGTTGCATTTCGTTACATTACGTTCCGTGACACTACATGGCATTACTTGACCATGACAACACATCGCATGTCATTGGATCGCATTACACACATATATGATCCTACGTGCATGCACGCATGCAGAAGACACTTTTTAATTTAATATATCATAATTACAGTTTGAGTTCACTTCACATATAACATAATACATCGCATGACATAGCTTGACCCTCATGTGAATAGAGTATGTGTAATATATAACACCTCCATGAACTCAAAACACAAACTGCGGAAAAGAGAAAGACGGGATGGCCAAGCAGGTAAGCTGCACGCAGGTGCTGATTCCACCTGACAGAGCACCGGACGTTTGGATCAACTTTCTTCCCCTGTTTTGGTCCCTTGGAGGTTTGTGTTTGTGTATTTTTGTGTATGACCCTTTTTCATCCTTTTTCATGATGCTCATTTTGTTTACTTGTGATTTAATCCATTTTTCATCCGGCGTTTCCAGGATCCAGCTTCATGCGGCGCAGCCCCGATTGTCACCAGCCTCAACTCAGCACTGGACGCGTGTGGCAAGCGGGGAAGGCTGAAACCACGGTCTTTGAAGGTAAGTCAGCTCAAGTTTTTCAAGATGGTTAGAAGTAACATACGTGTTGATACGTTGTGCACTTTTCGTGGTACATGAGTTGATATGTTTCCTTCTGGTTCATGTACATGAAGTGACATACGTGTTGATACACTGTGTACTTTTCGTGTACATGAGTTGATATGTTTGCGAATGGCTCATGTACATGAAGTATCATGAAGTGACATACGTGTTGATACGCTGTGCACTTTACGTGTACATGAATGAGATGATATGTTTGCGAGTGGCTCATGTACATGAAGTGACATACGTGTTGATATAGATGTGCGCTTTTCGTGGTACATGAGTTGATATGTTTCCCATGTACATGAAGTGACATACGAGTTGATACGCTGTGCACTTTACGTGTACAGGAGTTGATATGTTTCCTTCTGGTTCATGTACATGAAGTGACATACGTGTTGATACGCTGTGCACTTTTCGTGGTACATGAGTTGATATGTTTCCTTCTGGTTCATGTACATGAAGTGACATACGTGTTGATATAGATGTGCGCTTTTCGTGGTACATGAGTTGATATGTTTCCTTCTGGTTCATGTACATGAAGTGACATACGAGTTGATACGCTGTGCACTTTACGTGTACATGAGTTGATATGTTTCCTTCTGGTTCATGTACATGAAGTGACATACGTGTTGATACGCTGTGCACTTTTCGTGGTGCATGAATTTATATGTTTCCTTCTGGTTCATGTACATGAAGTGACATACGTGTTGATACGCTGTACACTTTACGTGTACATGAGTTGATATGTTTCCTTCTGGTTCATGTACATGAAGTGACATACGTGTTGATACGCTGTGCACTTTTCGTGGTACATGAGTTGATATGTTTCCCATGTACATGAAGTGACATACGTGTTGATACGCTGTGCACTTTACGTGTACATGAGTTGATATGTTTCCTTCTGGTTCATGTACATGAAGTGACATACGTGTTGATACGCTGTGCACTTTTCGTGGTACATGAGTTGATATGTTTCCTTCTGGTTCATGTACATGAAGTGACATACGTGTTGATATAGATGTGCGCTTTTCGCCGTACATGAGTTGATATGTTTCCTTCTGGTTCATGTACATGAAGTGACATACGTGTTGATATACATAGATGTGCATTTTTCGTGGTACATGAGTTGATATGTTTCCTTCTGGTTCATGTACATGAAGTGACATACGTGTTGATATAGATTTGCGCTTTTCGTGGTACATGAGTTGATATGTTTCCTTCTGGTTCATGTACATGAAGTGACATACGTGTTGATATAGATGTGCACTTTTCGTGGTACATGAGTTGATATGTTTCCTTCTGGTTCATGTACATGAAGTGACATACGTGTTGATATAGATGTGCGCTTTTCGTGGTACATGGGTTGATATGTTTCCTTCTGGTTCATGTGCATGAAGTGACATACGTGTTGATATAGATGTGCACTTTTCGTGGTACATGAGTTGATATGTTTCCTTCTGGTTCATGTACATGAAGTGACATACGTGTTGATATAGATGTGCGCTTTTCGTGGTACATGGGTTGATATTCTTTCCTCATGAGTTGAACAGGTCAAACACAGTCGCTCTGATTTCACTCGCAAAATGCGAGGAAAGAAGAAGCGAGGACAGGGTAGAGTTGCTGGAACGCAGAAAACTGATAAGCTGTGGACATGGTGCAAAGGCTTCATTGTGTGAAGACACGCATCATGGCCTGCCCAACCCACAGTTGTTCAGCCATGCATATCACTATGTATGGAGAAAGAACAATGTCGACAAGGACTTGTTCCAACTGTTGGCCACAGAACTGAAAAATTGACCATAAAAGCAATTCTTCTCAAAAAAATATAGTTTTGAAAATGATGGGGCGCAGAATCCCCCGCAAATACCATTGAAAGTCTGTTTTGGGCCCTGTCCTCATGGCATTTCGTGGCCGTTTTCAAAATAGCGATGTTCACAAAACACAGCGAGGGGTTGAAAAATCCATTGTACGCTGCTGCTGAAAATGTTGATTTTGTCAGGGGCCTCGAGCCCCCGTGTTTCCATGTTTTTAGATATGGGTGGATCCCTTACTCCTTAATCTTGCTGGGCAAATTTTGATTACAAGTGGTTTATCATTCTTGCTTGTTCTTCTCAATATTGTTCGTTATTCGGCGGCGCACCTTGTAGTGTTGGGCCTGTTCCGATTTGTTGTTGCTATGCAATGCCCCTGTTTTCAATGTCAATGCTGATTCTCTGAGGGCGGCCTCCACAAAGGTAGCGCTTCCAAGCTGCTGAAATGCAGCTTAGTTTGCACACTTCAGTTGAATGAGGAATGTTATGCTTCGCATTGGCAATGTAGTTGGAACACATCCCCCCGTATCTAATGTGGAATCTATGCGGAAGACCGGCTCCTGACTTCTTGATTAGCCTGGTCAATGTAAAGTGCGTTCCACCTGTTCAATCATATTTCCAATCAGCCCTAGTAGTGAGTGATCCCTGAAAATTTTAGCAAAAGCAAAAATGGACTCCACTGTGCACCTACGGCATTTTCCACAAATTGCCAAAGGCTTGCCAACTTTCTATCATACCAACATATCCAACATGTCTTGCCCCTTTTTCCGATCCTCTGCAGCGCAGTCCGCAAGGTCCGATTCACTGCGGCGACATCTACATAGATGTTGGATGACACCCAGGTGTTTAGATCCATTCCCAGGGACTGTTGTGTGGCATCTTGGTTTGGCCCAGGCAATCCAATGATGCACACGTGATGCATCTGGGTGACGCGGGAGAGACCACCATACGCGTACATAGGGGTCTTGTCCCAAGCCACTGTTTCACCTGGCTGGGCAGTTTAGTGAAACAAATCCAAAGGGTCGATGCTACTGCTACTGAAAAAACTGGGGTGCAAGTATGTACTGCAACCGTCAGATTGGGAGCTCGGACATAGAAAATCATACCGACAACATGTAGAATGATGCAAGCATCCTCATGTTATAATTATTGTTCCAACGTGGTCTTTGTTCCTTGGGACTTTTTGGCGCCTTTAAGCTCCACCCCGCCTGGTCTTACCCGGCACAGCTGCTGTTGCAGCAGCTGCATAAAGGGCAACAGCTCCACCAGGATGCTGCCAACCGCCATGAAGGCAGACCATGCCAACCCCGCGCCGCAGGCGCCAAGCAGAATGTCACTGGCAGAGGCCAAATGCCATTGTTGGCGCATGTCGGATCTCCTACAGGACAGGCAGAAACCAAGAACAGTGAAAACAACTGAAGGCAACTAACCACAATGGAAACATAACATGACATAAACTCTTCAATGATAGGGGATGTAGTTGACAACAGTGGGTCAAACCATGTCAAACCCATGTGCAAGCCAGCACGCACAAATTTGAGTGGACAAAAATTATTCGTGACATTCCAACGCATGAGGCTTTGCAACTTACGTTGCGCACCGGTTTCACCAGCAAGAGACGTGAATCAACAGGAAAAGGCCTGTGTAAGTATATCACTGACAATAGCGGGTTGAAACTCTCGGATGCAACAGGATTGCTGGAAAATTTTGGACTATATAGGGCATCAAAATTCACAGGTAGTGAAGAAATGGTTCAAAAGCCGCAAGTTTCCGAACATATTTAAACACAAAAAAAATTGGATTGTTGATGATTGTTGGGTACTAGAATCAGCAGTCTCAACCGCACTTGCATGGCACCATGTGGCACTGCAGCGCACTACATGGTGCTACGGCCAAGCTTCCAGGGCTCTTGCCCGAAATCTGCCCAGTGCGCGAGCGGTCTAAAGCTCGTCTCCAACAGGGTCTTCAGCGCTTCGCCATTCATCACGGCCCTCGGGGCAGGCGGTGGTCGCTCGATCAAAAGAATTCGAGGTCTCCAATGCTTCTCCTTGGATTAAGCAGGACAAGTAAACATGAACAACAATTCCAGCATGTCAGATTTCCCACAGAGCCCCCGTGGTTGACACTTTAAGCGTGTCACAAAGATGCGGCCCCACTCAGGGAAAGCTCCACGTGGGTCTGCCAGTCTCCCAGTAAAGAAATTCAAACTGAACCAAAATGAGAAATGGGACGGCAAGTGCCCTGCCAAGAAAACTTTAATTTGTTTTCCCTCGAGGGTGAAGAACTATCTTTCTTACATTGAAAGTGACAACTGACTTCGTAATACTTCTCACTCCCCACTCTTTTTCACCTTTTGCCTAACAGTCTGTCTGTTCACCTGCTATCCTCAGGTTTGCCTTGGATCGGTCACGGTGTGACACGCGCATAGCCCCAGACTTGGTCACCCCAGGCTGGAACCTGTTTTTGCAGGAGAGGAAGGGTGTGTTTTCTCCTGGTCACCCCAGGAGAATATCCCCTGAAAAGAGGCTATGCCCTCACCTGCCTAGCAGGCACCCTCTCCTAGGCGAGCTTCTCCACGGGAGGCCGGCTCTTAGGGTTGGGCGGGAGGGGAAAGAAAGCAATGCATGCTATTTTGATTCAACCCCACTTGAGCCAAAATGATAGCATTCATTGACTCACTTAAAGATGGCACATGCACACCCAAAGCCTGCCAAGCTCAGTGCATGAATACATCTCAAAGTGGCAACTGACTTCGTAATACTCCTCACTCCCCACTCTTTTTCACCTTCTGCCTAACAATCTGTCTGTTCACCTGCTATCCTCAGGTTTGCCTTGGATCGGTCACGGTGTGACACGCGCATAGCCCCAGACCAGTGTCCAGTGCTCGTCAGAGCTGCCTGGTGACCCCAGGCTGGAACCTGCTTTTTCAGGTATCACCCAACGCACTACCACACCCAAGGCACTAGAGGAATTCAAAGGTGAGGATGACTGCAACGAAAAGCAGGTGGAAAAGGATGGTAGGAAGGTACGACGAATGAAAGCTAAATCCATGGCAGCGCTACCATGGATCATCAAACCTAATCTACTGATATCGTCAGCCCAATTGCTCTTGCTCTGGACGTATTCCCAGTAACCCTGGGCTCGCATGGCAAACAGGGCGAGATGAATCAGGTGACTGAGCTTTGCCAGGTCAGGATTGCTAGAGCGCCCTCTCACTAAGGCCATCACCACCGCCACGTTGTCCAGAAACCAAAGACCTTGACGATTGCGAAAAAGGTCAGGTCGCTCAATGAGGGCGTACAGCAACCATCGAAAGTTCGAGCTGGGCAATATTGGTCTTCGCCGGTTGCCAGAGGGCTTCAAGATCGGCACAATTGGTAGCAACAATACTGAGACGAATCTGTGATCCATCAGGTTGGAAAAAGATAAGGTGGAAACCGCCTGGGGTTGTCAGCTTCGACAGCGGCATCAGATGCTGCTAAGAAACCCGTTTGCTGCAACGGGAAAATTGCAAATTCACGTTTAGGCTCAAAGCGTATAACGGCTTCGATCACCTCGAAGCATGCCGTCGTCTTCTCGTCCTGTCGAGCCTTAATGGTCAGGATGCCTCTATAGCCTACTCGGCCATTTAGATGCCTTGCGCAAGGAAGTTGGCACGGACGTGCAATTTGGAAGCTGTGCCACGAGTCAGCCTGCCCTTAGTTCGGGCAATATGAATGATCTCTTTGACCTTGTAATGGAGCCTGGCTCGAGCCCAAATTTTGACATAGCCGGTGCAGTTGATGTCAGCCAGGTTGGGGGTAAGGCCCCGGAATGTTCCTGAGTTTTGCATCAATTGTTTCTTGTCGGCTGCAAATGGGGGCCCAATCAGAGTGCAGTGCACAGCTGATTCACGGCCCACTGTCCAGAACCTCTGGATGACTTGAAGTCGGTGATGGTGGCATCATCAAAGTAGAGTGACACCAATACTCGGCAGAGCCGTCTGGATAACGCTTCCACCAGTCGAGAAAATTGGTTGAAGGAAGCCACTGCAAGGGGCAGTCCAAAGAGCTCGAGTATACTTGGTATGCTGGCTCTTGCCACTCACCATGAAACCAAACCACCGCGCAACCTAAGCTCTCTTAGAGGGCCATGGGGCAGTAGCGGTATGCTGAGGGTAGGTCTTCCCAGGCATCATGTTCGCAAAATGCCTGGACCTTATCTTCGGACCATCGGTGCATGACTAAGCTGATGCGTTGCGCTGGTCGCAGTGGACTGCATGGTGCCAGCTTGTTGGCATCGGCTGACCGCTCCATTGTCAATCACACGCTGTTTGCCCGAGCTCTGGGTGATCACACACCTTGGGATCAGCCTATGAGCTTGGCCGGTGATGTATGACAGGAAGCCTGCACCGCGCATTGGGGGCGTGCAAAACGCGTTGGTGGCGTCCTCCACAGCAAGAAAGCATTGTCCTTGCCATCGGGCAGGGTGATGCGCTCCGCTGGCTGCTGCAGAAAAAGGCGGGCAAACCCTATACTGCAGGGAGGCCTTTCACCAAGCCATTCAGGAATCCAGTGTCAGCCCATGATGTCAAGATGAGGAGGAGCGCAATGAACCCAATGTCACACTGCCTAGTTACTTGCTGGATTGCAGGCTCTTGGAAACTCCGTAGATGGAGGGTCGCCTCCTCCCAACGCGAACTGCCACCATGTGCACGACCCGCAGGAATGGGTGCCCCACACCAGCCAAGGATGACGGGTATACCCCTCACGGGAGGAGGCTGAGTACACAGCCGCTTTGGCCTTCGCCATTGCAGTGTCAGTGATCTGGTGGGCCGCACGGCGCGGGTTAGCAAAACTCACAGTTCCTCGAATGCCAGCTTTCACAGCAGTAGGCCGGCGGGAACAGAGCACTACATGAGTGGGCTATGGCCCCCATGGCCCTGACCTTGGGGCTGACAGCAGCATTGCAAGAGTCTATGACGGGGTTGCCGGTCCGCAAGCAAGTTGCTGATGTCATGGTGACCAAGGACGCTCTTCAAGATGGTGCACTATATGTTGGTCGAGGCAGTTTCCACCACCGTTTGTCCACCACCAATTGGAAGTCAGTTTGGGCTTCAGGCCACAACTGTTGTGACGCAGGTGAATGGTTGGCCAAGTACATCATCCACATCAGGACGTCTAACCTATGGGACGCACTACCGGAACTGGCTTACAAGACCCTTGCTTGTGACTGTGGCTTACAAGACCATTGCTTGTGGCTGTGCCATGGACCAGATGTGCGAGGCGGACCTCCTCATCGGGCTCTACTTTGATGCAATGGCCCCAGATGCTCAACCGGAATGCAGACGTAGTGACGGCAAGTGGTCTCGCTCAGTCGCACTACATCCCTCGGGGTATGTCCCTCCCTGTGATGAGCCAGGAGGCGTTGGTGCTGGCGTTCTGCAAGGCCTTCCCTGCCTCATGATTCACCAACTTCAAGTTCGCCATGGTGGAAGGCCTCACCAGCAGCCCCCCATTCTGCTCTTACCCACGCTGGGATGGGGCCGCTGGTCCCTCACTTGGCTTCAGGCGCTATCCGACCGATGATGGCTGTCAGGTGGGAGCCATGACCCGCCGTGCGCCATTGCTGCCCTTCAACCTGGCACCAGATGAGCGCTTCCAGCAAGCATTGCCACGAGCACAGCAACCCCTGCCCTACGAGGACATCCCTGTGACCTGGACCTGCAGTTTGCGGTGGCAGGCTATGACGAAACCACCGAGCCCCTACGGCCTTGGCGTCAACGAGCCATTGGTGCCCACTGGCCACTGGGCACTTTAAAATCGGTTTCCATAGCAGGTTGAGGACGCCCCTCTGTCTACAGCACCGGGATCCCCTCCCTTGGATTGAAAACTGCGCCTCGGGTCTCCTCCATGTAAGCGGCTCATCTGGCCTGACCATGAGTGAAAGGCAAAAGCATTTAAATGGAAAAATTGGGAAAGATTGGATCTCATGGAATCTGCAACTGCAGTGTGACCGACGTGGGTTCACCCTCATGGTCATTGCATGCTACTACCATGGCTCACTGATTGGCAGGTTGTCTCCCAACAGTGCCACGTCAGGGAAAACTCACACACTCAAATATCAAAAGCTGACAGCAGGCAACAGTGCAATTGAACTGAAACCTAAGAAGCCTTCATCCAGCTGCGAACCCTGTGTCGCATTTCTCGCGCGTCACGATGTCACTGCTGGGGGCGTGCTGCAATCAGGATGTTGGCTCTTATCCGAGCCTCGAGCTGCTGAATTCGGCTCTCCTTAGCCGGAACGGCCCATGCAAGCCAAAAACGGCGCTATAGCCAAAAATTCGGCAGGATCAGGTCTATACGCAGGTGGCCACCACGAGGCAGGTGCTCGGCGGAGGCACTGGTCGCACCAAGGACGCTCCCATGCCAAGGCCTCGTAGACATCGGTGGTGGTGTATGGGTTTACAAGGTGCTTGGCCTTCCCATCAGCCCGCTTGTGTTGACACAGGGTCGTGCCAGCCTCCACAATCACATGGGTGCTTGATTTGTCTGTAGCTGCATAGCCTTGGCGGGCCGGATGCGCTGAGCCCAGTGTGGTCTCTTGCCAGGTCTTGTGCATCTGCGCATCCCCTGGTCTTTGAGCACTTTTGGGAAATCAGTGTCACAGCGGTCCTGGATGTACTTGTTCGCCTCATCGATGGTCTCACCAGCCAGGAGGGCTCTGCAAAGCACGGCCAGGAATGCGCACGGTGTCGTGCCTTGATACAGTGGACCAGGACGTTATCACCTTTCCACACTGTGTTCTTGACCGCAAGCCAAACATCTCAGATCGCTCATATAGCTATAGGCTGCGCCAGTGGCTACACCGCTGGGACCACTGTAGCTGAGGGCTTTGGTGCCGCTGGCACTGCGGTAGCAGCCTTGACGGCCCTCTTGATGTGGCATACCCCTGCTCCATGTTTTCCTCCGCAAGCACGGCCAGATTGTTGGAGAACTGCGCAGAGGTGTGCTCTGAAGGGGCAACTGTCAGAAGGATTTGGCACTAGCCTCACTTGCACCCATCAAAACGAATCACTTGCGCCCACATTCATGTATACCTATCTTCATGTACATAAACAACCTTTTAGGGCTTATCCTTTTGGGGGACATGAGGGGGACTTGGGGTTAGGGGGCGAACTTGGGGAATAGGAGAGAGGGAGCTACATGAACAACCATTTAAGGTTTATCTTTTTAGGGGACGTTGGGGGGACTTGGGGTTGGGGGGGCTTGGGGACAAGGAGACAGGGTGTAGGTATCAACATGTGCATAAACAACCATTTATCATTTGGGCTTTATCTTTTTAGGGGACATGGGGGGACTTGGGGTTAGGGGGGGACTTGGGGACAAGGAGACAGGGTGTAGGTATCAACAAGTACATAAACAAACATTTAGGGTTTGTCTTTTTAGGGGGCATGGGGGGGACTTGGGGTTAGGAGGGGGACTTGGGGACAAGGAGACAGGGTGTAGGTATCAACAAGTACAAAAACAACCATTTAGGGTTTGTCTTTTTAGGGGGCATGGGGGGGACTTGGGGTTAGGGGGGGACTTGGGGACAAGGAGACAGGGTGTAGGTATCAACATGTACATAAACAAACATTTAGGGTTTATCTTTTTACGGGGCATGGGGGGACTTGGGGGGGACTTGGGGACAAGGAGACAGGGTGTAGGTGTCAACAAGTACATAAACAAACATTTAGGGTTTATCTTTTTAGGGGGCATGGGGGGGACTTGGGGTTAGGAGGGGGACTTGGGGACAAGGAGACAGGGTGTAGGTATCAACAAGTACATCAACAACCATTTAGGGTTTATCTTTTTAGGGGACATGGGAGAAACTGGGGTGGGGGGGGCTTGGGGACAAGGAGACTTGGAAGATGCTCGTGATGCTACGTTGATAACATGTTGAAGTAGCTTGCAAGACGCTGTGAATGCTACCTTGATGACATGCTGAAGTAACTTGGAAGATGGCCTTGATGCTATATTTAAATCACATTCAAGTAACATGGAAGACACTCCTGAGGGTATGTTGGAAACATGCAGAAGTAACTTGGAAGTCTTGGAAGACGGTGTCAATGAGACTTCGATGACATGTTGAAGTACCTTGGAAGACAGCCTTGATGCTATATTAAAAACAGGTGGACGTAACGTGGAAGACGCTCAATATGCTACGTTGGTGACATGTTGAAGTAGCTTGCCAGACAGCCTTGATGCTATATTAAAAACATGTTGATGAAACGTGGAAGACGCTCATTATGCTACGTTGATGACATGTTGAAGTAACTTGGAAGACAGCCTTGATGCTATATTTAAAACATGTTGAAGGAACCTGGAAGACGGTCTTGATGCTACGTTGATGACATGTTGAAGTACCTTGGAAGACGCCCTTGATGCTATATTAAAAACATGTTGGCGTAACGTGGAATACGCTCATTATGCTACGTTGATGACATGTTGAAGTAGCTTGGAAGACAGCCTTGATGCTATATTGAAAACATGTTGAAGTGACGTGGAAGACGCTGATGTATGGCGCAAGGGATGATAAGCCATGAAAAAATGGCAAGATGCTTCTAGTCGCTTGCTCTTGAACACGCTAAACTTGTCGAGCGATGCTGTTTCCTTCAGCCCTGCTGCGTAAAATGACTGAAAGGGGCTGCGCAGGCACAAGCGAGACAAATCGACGGGAACAAGCGAGGCCGTATCCGAAGGATTTGGGCAGTCATCCGTCTGAAACTCTGGGCATAGGGGCTTCCCGATCTTCAGGGTTGCCGTCAACACTTTGCCTTCTAGTTGGGATGGCATCTGAGGTGATGGCGCTGCTTCCGCCTCCTTCCCAGCTTTCTCGGCCAAGTTGACGAATTGCTGCGAGACTGCGAGAGCTTGAGGCGCTTCTTGACGTCCTGGAACCAATGCGACGGAGCCCAAATCGGTCGCGGCGTAGGAGGCGCTCGGCTTCTGCCACTCCATGCGCCTTTGCCCTGGCCAACTCTTCCTGTGGGATCGCCTCCCGCGAGAGCTGGTCTGTCAGCATTGAAGCGGCTGCACACACCACAGACTTAATCTTGATCGAGGCTGCGTACTTCGCTGAAGAGTACTGGAGCGCCATCTGGCCCACATCCGGCTGGTCTCCTTTGTTCTGCCAATCGCCAAGGGCTGCTAGCTCCTCTGGCCTACTTTCCAATCTTTCCAGCAGCTGTGCCAGCGTAGGCGCCATCCTCCTCCAGGAATAGGTTGTCACCTCTGGGTTGTCGAGGACGGCCATCTCAGCTTGCATCGTCTCCTGCACTTCCAAGATAGTCCAAGGGCGGCCTTCGTCGGAAAAGCACGGGCCAGAAACCCGCTGCCTCGCTGAGGCTAGCGTCCGATGGGCTTCAAAGACCTCTTTGGCCCAAAAGAAGTGTCCTGAGAAGCAGGCAGGGACGGCGTAGTCAAAGCCATCTCTGGTTTCCCTTTCTGGCAGCGGCAGTGCCGGAAGGCTGCTGTCAACCTCCTCGGCTCCGAGCGCGTGATGTGTGTGTAGCGCGGCGTGGCTGGCACCCGTAAGTTGCTCAGGTCCATCTCCTGGTTGGCATTCTTGTTCATCCACTTGAAAGCTTGGAGGGCCCGAGCTGGAGCGTTGGTGTGCTGCAGGAGCTGGTCTAAGCCCCCCACTTCCGGAGGTGCGGGTCGCCCCCGACTTTTCAAGAAGGACCTCAACTCCAGCCACGTGTTCACCACCCTATCGATGGTTGCTTTCTCGGCATCTTGAACCTTCTTCTCTGCGATCCTTCGGCAGGTCTGCTTCCATTCAAAGCGCAATGCATCAGTCAAGATGCCTGCTGGCTTGTAGGAACCCATGCCGAACATTGAGACCAGGCCTGTGATGCGCTTCTGAAGTCTTGGGCTTCTTCTTGAAGGCAGTCTTCTTCACTGGGCGTGAGGACCCTTAGGGTGGCCTTCCACAGCCCGAGCACCTGCGGCTAGCAGGCCTTCTTCGACCCTGGCTCTGGTTTGGAGCCAGTTGTCGGCCACGTGGTGGCCCGCCAAGCCCACCATGCACTCGATCGTAGTCAAGGTAGGCGTAGGCGAAGTTGTTGTCGTCCTGCAAGCCTTCAGCCTCGCGCCACTGACCCGCTCGCTGCGCGGCAATCTGACGGAGGGAGGCGGCAGCGTTCCAACCTTGCGCAGGGTCACCCCCTGACGAGGAGGAAGATGCTGCTTGTGCTGCATAGTAGCCCTTGCCACCTGATGCCATGGCGGCGCACCCTAACACAATGGCTAAGGTGCGGAGAGCAAAAAGATGCTGCGGTGTGGTGGCTGGTTCATCAACCTTGACACCTTCAGGGATCCACAAGCATCTTCCGATGCTCCCCACAATTTGGACAGCTGTGCCTCCATGGAAACAGATGCAGAGGCCGACGCACCAAGCCCAACAGACATGTCTGGTTGGGTCTCCACAGTGTAGGCATCCCGTGCCCAACACCACAGTTCCAACTTCCTGGGCTTCCAGCCAGCCGCACAAGGAACGGTGCGCTCTGGTACCCGCTGCCCCCAATATTAACCAGGGTCGCCCCTCGATGAACTTGGCGGAGAAGCCATAGTCGTTGGCCAGGCCTCAAAGAGCTTGCCCATTCCCAGCTCCCCATCGTCGGCTGCCAGTACCGGACCCCCAATAGGCGTCCAAGAGAAGGAGATCCATTTTCTCTTGCTGCTCATAGTAGCACGCCCAAGCATTTTCCGGCTGAACATCGGGTGGAATGATGACACCCCGGCTGCTCCGCTGCTCCACAACCCCAAGCCAAGGGAACTTGAACCCTCCAATCTTACCTGTGCAACGTTGACAATCTCGCTTGCAGCAAGGCATTTTGACCAAGGGAGGGAAAATTCACTGGTAATGGGGATGACAAATGGGGAATGCCTGATCCCGACTGCGTGCGTCCAACACGTGTATGCAGCCAAGTCTTGGCCCTCCCTTGCCAGCCTCTCCACATGCTGCTTGAACTCCAAGAAGGCTGCTGCGTGGAGGATATTCGCCTCAGTAGCAGCAGGGACATCAATACCCGGGTGCGCAGCATACGAGGTCACCCCTCGTGATCCACCAGGTCACCCCTGGAACTATCTAGGTCAAGACAGTCACCCCCTCCCAAGACCTAGAAAGAAAGCAATGAATGCCATTTTGGGTCAACTCCACTTGAGCCAAAATGATGGCATTCACTGACTCACTTAAAGATGACACATGCACACCCAAACAAAGCCTGCCAAGCTCAATGCATGAATAAAACTATTCTTGTGATTTATGTTTCTGAGGCTTGTGTGAGCTGTGTTTCCCGCCTCCCCCCGTGCGCATTGACACAGCTGTGCACAGCCAGGTCTCAGTTGGGGTGTCTCCAGCAAGGTAGGCCAACATCTTCTGCACTGCGCGGTGCGTGTCACTGTGGCTCAAGTGTCCCTTGTGGCGACCGAACAGCGTCGTGGCATCGTAGCCCCACCAAACGTCATCGTAGCATCGGACACCAACACCGTCTGCACCAAGGATGATCAAATCCCCAAGGATCTGGAGGAAGGGCCATGCCACACTGTTCCTCTTTAGGGGCTGCAGATTTAAAACAAGTTTTGGAGACCCGAAAAAAAAAGCTCTAAACATTTACATACATGGCATGCAATAATATAGGCTTAATAGGCATCATCTTTTTCTGGAAGCTTCGGACGGCATTGTGAATCCCCATTCCTCAATCTGTTGCGGATAGCTGCTCCCTTCGCAAAGGATTCATCATCCAAGCCATCGATGATCACCTGTCGATCTGGACCATCATGCCGTGCCAAAGCTGGGAGCAAAATGTGAAGCAAATGCCACCTGGTGGTAAGTTCC